CGGGTCTGAGTGAGATTTCCTCACTCAGGGCTTAAGCTACTTCAAAAATATTTGGGACCCCTGCACTCCCATGAGGTGTCAAGTCACAAACCCCAGGGCCTGCTCTGCACCCAGACCTGGGGGTTCCTTGTGAAGTCTCCTTAAAGAAGACACCCTGGGAAAGGAAGTCAGACAGACCCAGCCAGAAACCCGAAATGCCAGTGTGTGCTATGTTTAGTCGCTCAGTCGTGCCGGACTCTTTGTGACCCCGTGGACTGCAGCCCACCAGCCTCCCCTGTCTATGCGAGTCTCCAGGCAAGAATACTGGAGTGAGTTGCCATGCGCTCCTCCAGGGGATCTTCCGACCCAGGGACTGGTGAGCAGGTTCTTTACCCACTGAGCCAGGGGCTTTCATGAGATGGAAGTTCAGTTTTCTCTCATACTGCAGATGGTTAGAGGTGGGCAGGGCAGCATCAGGAGTCTGAGCTCCTTCTATACATGGCTCTGCCATGCACAGTTTTATGTGAAAAATCAGCTGTAGTCCAAGATGGCTGCTGAATCTCCTGCCGTTATATCTGCATTACAGGCAGCAGGAAGGAGAACGGGGAACTGAATGTGCCTTGTCCTTTAAAAACCCTTTCTGAAATGAAAGACTGTTTACATCTAGGCCAAAACTATATGGCCACACCATACCTAGATGTAAGAGGGGCTGGGAATTAGTTCCAGGCAGCAAATGCACAGACAGACCTTCAGCGGTTTTACATCCTTGGACACTGGAGGTGGCGGGGTGGGGACAGGAACCTGAGGGGCAATGAGAAGTCTCTGCCCCAAGCTCTGACAAGCTGTGTGTCCTTGGGCAAGCCCCTTCACCTCTCTGAGCTCCTGCCTGACCCTGTGAACCAGGCCTGTAGGAAGACTGTCTCCAAGGCCCTTCTCTGCTCCGACATCTCATGATGCCCAGGGAGGCTGAGACCAAGGGTACAACAGCTCCTTTTAAAAAGTGCCTGTTTCAAGACGTACAGATCTGCAACAGCTTAAAACGTGATTGATTTTCAAACTGCAAACTGATTAACACAGCCTGGGAGACCTTTTGGGGAGGGGGGCATGGAAGGTTCCCAAGGTCTTCCTGAGACAGGAGGGATCTGAGGGGGCGGAAGTCGGCTGGGCCGTCCTCTCTTAGGGCTGTGGAGGCAGCAGGGCAAGAGAGGACAAGAGCTGGGATGGGTGCCTTTGGGGAGGGGCTCTGGGGCGGGTGAAGAGGGACAGCGTTGGGGGGGGGTCACCCCCAGGAGCTGGGATGGCTCTCCGGGGGTGGGGGGGCAGGGAGCAAAGAAATCTTGGGTTGTTTTCCTCCCAAGATTTGCTGTTTCTTTTTTCTTTAATATCTATTTTATTTATGCATGTATTTGGCAGCGCTGGGGATCTTTTCTTAGCTGTGGGTGTGAGATCTAGTTCCCTGGCCAGGGATCAAGCCCAGCCCCCTGCTCAGTGTTCTTAGCCACTAGATCACCAGGGGAGTCCCCCTAGAGCTCCCTTTTCTCCTAATGGCATCCCTTGTACAACCATGATAACAAATAGTAAAGAGCTCTAGAGACTTCCCTGGTGGTCCAGTGGTTAGGACAAACTCGACACTCTCACTGCCCAGGACCTGGGTTCAACCCCTTGTCAGGGAAGGAAGATCCTGCAAGCCACGCAGTGCAGCCAAAAAACAAATAAAAGAGCTCTTCAAAAAACTGAGGAGTCATCTGACCTGCTGGAATTGGGGAGCTGGGGCTTTGGGACACCCCACTTGCTGTGCTCAGGCCCCTGTGGGGCTGGCAGGAAGGGGTAGGCCCTGGGGAACTGCAGGGGGTCTGCTGTGAGGCAGGCCTGGGGGTGGCTTGTGACTCCTGTGTAATCAAAGGGTGATTCCTGGCAGCCAGGCCTTGGGAGCAGCCCCTCCCTCTCCCTTCCTGTCCCTTGACCCCCACCTCTGTGGGGTGGCCCCAGCGGTCAGGAAGCTGGGAAGCCTGGCCCCGTGACGCAGCAGATTCCCTAGTCCTCCTCCAGGCCTGAGCAAGGCCCAGGGGTGCCTGGACTTTCTATGGGATGGGGTGAGGGGTTAGGAGGGGAAGAAGCACATTCTCCCTGTCTCAAGGTGGGGGCTGAAGCTGTTTGATACAAAAGACACGTGACCCTGGTGAGTAACAGCAGGGTTTCAAGTTCCCAGCCCTCCACGTGCCAGCTGGGTAACCCCAGGCCAGTTCCACAGCATCTCTGTGCCTTACTTTTCTCATCTGCAAAATCGGGAGCCAAGTGAGACCCTCACAGCAGCTCTCGGAGCGGCCCACGTGCGTGCCTGGTGTTCGAGCCCGTCTCCCAGTCGGGTCGACTCTGCAACCCTGAGGACTGTGGCCCGCCAGGCTCCTCTGTCCGTGGGATTCTCCAGCCAAGAATGCTACAGTGGGTTGCTATGCCTCCCTCCAGGGGATCTTCCTGACCCAGAGATCAAACCCGGGTCTCCCGCATTAGTGAAAGCTAATAGGATGGCTGAGGGTAGTCAGTGATGATGATGGGAGACGCAAGGCCCCCGAGCCACCCTGACGAAAGCCAAGGACCCTGGCCACACCACAGCCTCACGGACGAGTCAGGAGCACACGGGCCCGCCCGCTTCTCCTGCCGAGGCAGAGACAGGAGACCATGTGGAGATGAGACTTGTTTGAAAGGCAGACAGACGCCAGTCTGCTGCCACCCGTATCCCCACCTGGACTCTGAAGACAGCAGGACTGGCAGAGGGCTTCTGGGGTCCCCCGACTCCTCAGACCTCAACTGCAATGGAGAGGTGACCTCCAAGGGGAGCCGAAGGAAACAGGGGGCTCCTCCACCACCAGCGGGTGGTGGTTGGGGCAAGAATGTCGTGGGTGCTCAACACAGTCCTCTCCATGGACCCACAAGGCCTGCGACCAGCTGCCCTGACCTGCGCCCAGCCAAGCCCCCTGACCAACGCCCTGGGGGCCCGGGGAGCAGGCTCTGTGCTCTCAGCGGCCCCAGGCCAGGGGCAAACCCGCTTTCTTGAAATCTGAACCCCTCTCTCCATGGGTCCCTGCTTTGGACAGTTTCCTTCTTCAGGCAGGAAGCTTCCTCCAGCAGTTCCCCCCTCCTCCCAGGGCAAGACCTGCCGTCCATTCCTGCCCCTGACAGCCTGACGGACCTGCATCTCGTCAGGGGCCCCAGAGGCCCCGTGCACGCAAGCTTAGTCCTGTCCAGGCCTCTGTAGCCCCATGGACTGTAGCCCTCCAGGCCCCTCTGTCCATGGGATGTTCCAGGCAGGAATACTGGAGTGGGGATCCTTCTCCAGGGGATCTTCCCCGCCCAGGGATCGAACCCGCGTCTCCTGTGTCTTCTGCATTGCAGGCGGAGTCTTACCACTGTACCACCTGGGAAGCCCTGAAGGCTCACTGACCAGCCTTTAAATCAGCTCTGCCACTTCCAGGCAGTGTGGCTTCAAGCAAGTCACTTAACCTCTCGGAGCCCACTTCATTAGTAAACTGGGGATAACGTAGGATTCTCATGAGACTACGAATAGCATCTGTTGATTTGTGTGTGTTTCTGTCCCTCAGACTCTCCTACTGTCCGAAGTATGTTTGCTCGGCAGCTCTTGGTGCTGTGTCCTTGGCTCCCAGAGCAGGAGGTGTAGGCCCCCACCCTTGGGGGTGTCCACTTCAGTGGGGATAGGTGATCAGGCTGATGATCACATATTCATAGCTCTGGCTGATGAATTACTTCCAACCGAGGAGGAACGGGAGGGGCCAGTCTAAGGACTGACAGATGGGGAGGAAGGCAGGCCTTGCTGGCAGGGGCCCTGGCAAGGGCAGAGGCCTGAGGTGTGAATCTCAGAGCTGCAGCGTGCAGGCCAGTGGGGGGGGCGGGGGCAGCCTGGGCAGGCAGGAAGGTGCACCTGTGGGGCTGAGCTGCGGGGAGGGGCTGGCCCAGACAGTGGGGGGCTTGAGGGGACCTCCTGGCCCCTGCACTGTCCACCCCCACTCCCTGTTCCTATGGAGAAACAGGCCATGTGCAGAATCTGCAGTGAGTCCAGCCACTGCCCTCCAGGGCCTGCACTGCCGGCCTGGCCTTCCAAGACTGAGGGTAGGAGGGTTGGGCCCCAAATCCCAGCCCTAAAGTAGACCTGGATCTTGTAGAAGTTTCCAGATGTTTAAAAGCCAGCCACCAGCCCCACCCGCTTTGAAGTTCTTGGCACTCCATTCCCAAGGCCACCAGGCTAATGGGGGAGAGGGGCAGACCGCATGTCAGGCTGGCACATCCGGATGTTCTCTGGTCCTCACCTCAGCCCTTGAGGTGGGTTATTCCCACTCCGCAGGCTGGAGACCGAAACCGGGCAAGTGTGAAACGCTAGGGCTTTTATTGACCCCTGGGGGCTCAGGTCCCCAACTCTAGGCCTGGCCCCAGCCACAGTTTGGGGCTCCTCGAGGCTCTGCGGGGGTCCATGGTCTGATGAGAACATCACTTGATGCTCAAGTCAACAAAGCTCCTCCCAGAGACCCTGGGGTGCGCCCCACCCCCGCCTAGAGCGAGCTCTGGGCATGCCTTCTGTGCCCGTGACCACGGAGCTCCTGAGGCTGGGCACGAGCCAGCTCCCAGCTGCCCAAGCAGGGTGTGCAGGGTCCCTGACAAGCAGTGGGCGTGGGGATGTTTCGTTACATCAGCCCCCGCAGCCCCTCAGCGCGAAGGGTGGGTGCGGAGGGCACCCTGGGAACTAAGACGCTGGAGGCTCCGGAGGCTCCGCCCCCTGGGTCTCCCGAGGCTCCGCCCCCTGGGTCTCCCGAGGCCCCGCCCCTCCCCCGGGTCTCCGAGGCCCCGCCCCTCCCCCGGGTCTCTCGGAGGCCCCACCCCCGGTCTCCAAAGACCCCGCCCCACCCCACCCCCGGTCTCCCAAGGCCCCGCCCCGCCTGGAGCTGCCGCTGGGGCCAGGGCCGGCTTGGCCTCCCGGTCACTGCAGTCCCGTGCTGAGAAGGATGGGTGGGTCAGTGGGTGGACTCCGCCGGCCCTGGTGTCCTCAACCGGATAAGGCGCTGTTGCTCCCTCCCGGTAACCCTGCAGGGCAAGGACAGGAGACTTCAGGGTGGGATTGAGCTCCCACAGTGGGATTCACTCACCCAGGATCAGAGACCCGGAGACTCCGAGAACAGAGCCCCAAGGTTCCGCAGGAAGAGCTCCAGCCTGCCCGCCATTGCTTCTGAGGCCTCGGACCTGGGGGACTGAAAGAAAAGCGCTCAGCTGCCTGAAGGACGGGGACGATTTCACACGACCCCCAGCAGCCCAAGCTCTGGAAGCCTTCCTCGGTCCAGGCTTCCCTGTCCTGGGGCTCTGGAGTCTGAGAGTCCAGGAGTTGGGTTCTGAGGTCCTGGGTTCTAGCACCTGGGGTCCACAACCCCTCTAGTGACCTGGGAAGGAGGTGAGGGGCGTGGGGTGCAGAGGGAGCCCCCAAAGTCCAGGAGATCCAACTGCGTGAAGCCCAGCCCTGCCCAGGCCACTCGTTTTACAGAAGTGGAGACTGAGGCCTGGGCCTTTGGGGCCGGCTGGCATCTGTCCCAGGGCACTTTTGAGCGGGGATCTGGTGTGCGGGAGGCGGGGCAGGGAAGGCGACCCTGGGCCTGGGATGACCCTTCCCCTCTTCCACCAGCTTTACCAGAAGGTAAAGCATCTGCCTGCAATGCGGGGAACGTATCCCTGCGTAGGGATGATCCCCTGGAGAAGGAAATGGCAACCCACTCCAGTACTCTTCCCTGGAGAATCCCATGGATAGAGGAGTCTAATAGGCTATAGTCCATGGGGTCCCAAAGAGTCAGACACGACTGAGCGACTTCCCTTTCTTTCCTCCACCAGCTGGAGGCGCTGCCCTCGGGGCTGGCCTCTCCGGGTGGGGGGGCGATGGAGGCCCTTCCTGGGGAGGCCGGGCTGCCCGCTCTCCCGAGCCCGCAGCTTCCGCCCCCGCCCGGTCTCCTCCTCCGGAGCTGGGACTCGCTGCCTCCTGCCAAGAACGCCCACAGCCTGCCAGGCCGGTGGGGGAGGACGCGCGGGCCCCACCCCAGCCCATCCGCACGGATCCTCCGGGCCCTGGGCGGGTCTTCTTGGGTGAAACTGAGGCCCAGGGGGCGGGGCGGAGGAGTCAGGGTCCCCCGGGCCCCCAGGGTCCGCAGGAGTTTTAGAGGCTGTGCTTTAGTGGGGTCTCTTCACCCGCCTCTTTTCAACCGTGAGAGTGTAGAAGGGGAGGCTGCCGGGCTTGGAGCCAGGGTCGGGGTGGAAGGGGGAGTTGGCAGGGGTCCTGGCAGGAGGCCCGGCAGGGGGGAGAAGCCAGGGCCCCTCTCGGGGCTTCCTCCTGACGCCTGCCTCCCCTCAATTCTCAGCCCTCCATCCATACCCGTGATTCTCCAGCAGGCTGCCGGGCAGGCTCGGAGGGTACTGGGGCCCAGAGGGGCTGAGGGCTGCTCTGGGAGACCCGAGGCACCACACCCCCAGGCTGCAGGGAAGAGGGTCCTGATGGGATCCGGGGGGCCGGGCTGCTGGTCACACACGGCCTTTTAGGAAGAGTAAGCGTTTCCCTTGCAGCTTTGTCCTGCGGTGTTTGGCAGAGTGGTGTTTGAATTCAGAAAGAAAGGCCATAACTTTTCTTCCCCCAGCTATAGACTGGCCCAGGGGTCATGTGTGTGTGTGTGTGTGTGTGTGTGTGTGTGTGTGTGTCCTCACTGGGTCAAAGTCACGCCTGCACTCTGGTTGAGCGTGCTGGGGACAGTTTTACAGGGGCATGTTTGTGAGTATGTCCTGGGCTGTGGGCAAGGATGTGATCCGAGGTGGTAAATCGCTCCCTGACTCAAACACACACTTGGGTATTGGGACATACAGGTCAGACTTCCTGTCCCAAACATGCCCCCGCCCCTCCATCAGCTTGTCTGGAGTTCCTCCTGAGCATCTTCTTGTTTTTGTTTTTTTAATATTTATTTATTTATTTTATTTTGGCTGCAACGGGCCTTTGTTGTGGTACTCGAGATCTTTAATTGTGGCTTGTGGGATCTAGTTCCTTGACCAGGAATCAAACTCAGCCCCCTGCATTGGGAGCAAGGCATCTTAGCCACTGGACCACCAGGGTTATCCCTGAGCGTCTTCTGAGTGGTACACATGTTCCCTAAGATGAAGGGGTCATGCCCAAACCTGAAAAACAGACGGGGCTGCGTGGCAGCTGAGTTACCTGCTCCCGCAAGCAGGGTTTTGATGCAGGCATGGCACACGCTGACACATGAGAGGCGCTCACATGGCCTGCCCAGGACGCTGAGACTGGATAGGCTGTGGGGGGCTCCTGTCTCCCGTCCTGCTCTCCTCCTTCCTTGCGAGGGGACCCCAGCAGGGCTGGTGGAGCTCGGTCCCCAGCTCCAGCTCCCTCCTCCTCTGTGTCCCTGGCTGGGCAAGGGTCCATCCTCCCCAGAGATTTCGTTGTATCCAGTTCTCTCTGCTCTCTCTTCCTTTCTTTCCTTTCGCACTTTCTTCATCTTAATCCCTTTAAGCCCCCTGAGGCCTCAAGCCTAGACCTGGTCAGTCTCTCTTAAACTGTGTCTCACGTGCCAGAGCAGCGATCAGAGACCCCGCGGGACGGATGGAGGGAGGGGGGAGCCCCCACTGGGCACCCGGGCTGCGCGGCTCACTCCTTCCCACGAGGCTCACGCAGGAGGCCAGGAACTGAGGCTCCCGGTGTGAAAACCTTGCCCAGAGCCCAGGGCCACCGGTCTCCCTCTCAGACACCTGAGGGTTGGCCTTCCCGGGCTTTTTCCTCCACACACACACACACACACAAATCTATTTTAAGACTACATTACTGTAAAGAATGTATTAATAATATATTTGAAACATTTCCTTCATCCTAAAACTTCCTTTTTCTCCACCCATTCTGATTTTAGATAAAATAGAACCATTTCATGGCCCCCACAGATACTGTGGCCCCAGCACTGAGTTGCTGTGTCTGAGGAAGAGGTGGCTGGCCTGGCAGGCTCCTCCCCGGAAGGGGACTTGAACCCAGGTCTTCTGAACCCCCAACCTCTTCTCCCCCCAAAACAGCCACTTTGGGGAAAGTTTCTTAGTAGCCACCCTATGGCTTGGACTGTCCTGTTTCTCAGTGCTTGTAACAACAATGCTAATTAATAATAATGATTATTATTATTAATCATCACATTACTGTAACTCCTTCACAAAGTCTTTGACTCTTCCCAAGCCCTTTCTTCTCTGTTATCTTATTCCCCCAACAATCCTGGGAAGAGCAAGGAGAGCCATCTTTACTTCTGTCTTAGAGCTGGGCCAACTAGGACGCAGAGGACGGGTAAGCAGTGCCGGCTGGTAGGACTGGAGCCCTGGGCTCTGCATATCCTCTATCTGCCCTCTATCTGGGTGAGCAGGTGGCAAGGAGGGGCCTTGGAAATGTACCTGGGTGAGGTGGAAGGTTGGAATTTAAAGGGCAGAAGGGGGAGCTATGAAAGGAGGAGTTGGCAGGTGGGGCACAGGGATGGGTGAAGGGGAGGGGCGGGCAGGTGTCAGCAGGGGTGGGACGGATACCTTCCGGCTGCCCATGGGGACAGGAAGAGTCCAGGGCAGCCTTCTGGAAGGAGCTGAATGGAGGCGGGGGCAGTGCAGTTACTGGGAGGGAGAAAAGGCATGTGAGAGGCACAACCACTGAGCCTCGGTGACGGATGGGACACAGAGCTTCACGTGGGGGTGGGCAGGGATGCTCCCTCAGTTGAAGCTCTTAAAAACCCCAGAGGCTGGAAACACCATTACCATGTGGGTAATTAAACCACAACCGTGAGTCAGTTCTTCACTGACTCACTGGAAAAGACCTGGTGCTGGGTAAGATTGAGGGCAGGGGGAGAAGAGGGCGGCAGAGGGTGAGCTGGATGGCATCACACTCGATGGACAGGAGTTTGAGCAAACTCCGGGAGATAGTGAAGGACAGGGCAGCCTGGAGTGCTGCAGTCCACAGGGTCCCAAAGAGTCGGACAAGACTGAGTGACGGTACCACAGTCTCAGAAGTGATGATCCTATCAAGTCAGCTCTTTTCATAGAATAGGTCATTACCTCCCAACCACCCTGAAGGGGTAGGCATTATGCTCATTATACCACCGCCAAGATCATTTGGGGTCTTTTTGAAAGCTGCCCACCATGATCGCAAGGAAAAGATGTCCACTTTCAGTGGGATAAGTGTCTTCTTAGACTCTAACACACTCAGGACATAGCATTTGCTGTGGGCGCTGATTCAGGACCACTATCTACTACTCTGTATGTGCTTGCTAAGTTGCTTCAATCATGTCCAACTCTTTGCGACCCCATGGACTGTACCCCGCCAGGCTCCTCTGTGCATGGGATTCTCCGAGCAAGAATACTGGAGGGGGCTGCCGTGCACTTCTCCAACCACCCTGTGAGGTCAGTACTATTATCCTCCCCATTTTGTGGGGGACACAAAGAGGGAAGGAGCTTGTCCTCAAACCCTACAGCCGGGATCAGGCTGGGACTTGAACCCACACGGGTTTGAGCCCAAGGAGGAAGCTGGGTTGGGCATGGTGTGTCTGAGGAGCCTGCGAGTGCCCTCAGGGGAGCCCGTTGTATGGGTCTGAAGTCCAGGAAGAGGCAGGTCGGAACTGGCACGCGATGGGCGCCCTTAGCTGCGGGAGTGGTGGGGGTGATGAATCCTGGGGAGGCAGGCTCGCCCCCAGGAAGAGCGGGTACAGACCGGGCAGAAGTGGGGTACAGACCACCTACCTTGACCGCCATAGCATCTGCCTCCTCGGAGCGGTGGTGGGAGGGGGGCAGAGACAGCCCGAAAGTGAGGGAGGCCACGGGGTTGGGCGGGTGGAGGCGTGGGGACTATCTCTAGAGAACAGCCCGGCTGTGTTAGAACAAACCTTAGGACAAGCCCTGAGGTTTCTGTTGGGGGGGCGGGGGCGGGGCGGGGGGGGTATGTCCCAGCCGTGGCCACACCCTCTGCGCTCTCTGCGGGGCGGGGCAGCCCCAGGCCCCGCCCAGGGTGACACCCCCGGATGCGGGCTCCAGGGTCACCAGCCTCCAGGCAGGAATGTGTCACGCGTGCCGCGCCCAGAGGCTGTGCCCCCTCCCCAGCCGGTCCGACCCGTCTGCCGGGCGCCGGTCGGCGGTCCCCTGCCCTCAGCCCCTGCGGCCCCCACCGCCGTTCATGGAGCAGCCCACCGCCTCCGAGCAGGCTGTCGCTCTGCCAGGCGCCTCTTCCTCCCGGGAGCCCGCTGGGCCTCCTGACCACTCCCAGACCCTTGGAGGGGGCCGATGAGGGATCTGTGCAGAGAGAGCTTCAGGAGTCACCCTCACCCCACAACAAAGGCAGACACGTGATGCTTTCTCCCCAGAACCAGCTGCCCGGCGCTCGCCAGGTGCCACAGGCTGGTCCTCCTTCCCCGCCCGCCTCCAGACCAGACGGACCATCTCTGGAACCTCCGGGCTGTTCCCCCGATCCCATCTGACCGCCCAGTTCCCCAGCTAAGCCTCCTGCCCTCGGGCGGGCGGATGCCCTCCAGCGACCTGGGTGCGCGCCCTCTGGACGACCCAGCTCTCCGCAGGCCCCGCCCGGGACTTGGTCCCCGCATCCTGGCCCACCGCCTTCGCCCAAGCGGGTCCCCTGCCTAACACGCAACCCTCCCTCCCCAAATTCCCAGATCGCCTCCGAGCTTGAACCAGCGACCTAACCACTCTGGGCCTTAGTTTCCCGGGCTGCAACAGGAAGCGAATACTGGTGGGGGACCGGGGAGGAGCGAAGGGCGCGCGGGCTGTGAGGCGCTTGGCGCAAGGAAGGGCCCCGAGCCTCGCGGCCTTCTGGGCCCGTCTGCCAGCCCGCTGTGCTCCTCTTCCCGGCCAGGTGCTCGCCGAGCCTTGCCAGGTGGTGATGACACCACTGGCGGCCCATCCCCACCCCTCAAGAGGCAGCGAAGGGCCCTTTTAGGGGCAGGGAGGCCCGCGAGGAGACCCTCTGTGCGCCCGCTGGGAACAGGTGGCAGGGTGAAATCCGAGAGCCCCGGGGGCTCCTCCTGACCCGCGACTGGGGGGTGGAGGGGACTGTGTGTGTGTGTGTGTGTGTGTGTGTGAGTGTGTGTGTCTGTGTGTGTATGTGTGAGAGCCCCGGGCTCGCCTGACCTGGGCCTGGGGGTGGGGGTGGGGGTGCCTCTGTGTGTGTGTGTCTCGATATATGTGTGTATGTGTCTGTGTGTGTCTGCGTGTGTGTGTGTGTATGTGTGTGTGATGTTTTGCCCACTCAGCCTGGCTGAGCTCCAGGAAGACTCGGTCTCGCCCCCAGCCGTGCGCCTCTGTGAAATGGGGCGATCGCACCGTCTCCAAGCTGCACCCCTAACTGCGGGTCTCTCGAAAGAAGATTTATTGTCCAAGATTGACAGTAATGCACAGTCACTGGGGGGAAAAAAAAGTCAGAAAATAACTCCCCTCCCCCATAAAAATACCACCAAATATGTCTATGACCCGAACTCCACCCCTGGAAGTACTCTTGCAGCTATGGGGCAGGGGAGCGGAGGCAGGTTTTATTATTAATATTATCCCACGATTCTGGGGAGGACAGGGAGATACAGAGACGATGAGTGGCCCCCAAGGTCTCAGGAGGGTGAGATGCCGGCGAGATTCGAACTCCCCCCACCCCCGCCACACACACACCCTTGCACTCTCCATCAAGGGCCGCCCATCTTCTTGGTAAGGCCTCGCTACTGTCAGGCACCTGCCCGAGCTCAGCCCAGGAGCAACACAGCACAGCCCGAGACGGGGGACCGAGCGGGGCTTGAGGATGCGGGTGTCGCGTCCAGACGCGAGCCTGTGGACTTGGGGCGCCACATCGCGGACCCGCGGGAGACGGGCTCCTCCAGCCCAGGACGCATGCGCCCCTCTGCCTCTCACGCGAGATTACTTATGAACTTTGAACCCTGTCCCCAAGCCCCGATGGGGAAGATTAACCCGATTGTTTTCAAACCCTGGCCTCGCAAAAGAGCCCCGCACCTAGGCTGCCAGCCCCGTCTCTTAAGCTGGTCTGCGACGCCCCCTGGCTTTGTGCTGGGCGATTGTTGACCCATTTCACTGGCGGCGAATGGGCCGCGGATCCCAGGGACTCTTTCCTGTGGGTGGGGACGCCTCCCTGCCCGCTGGAGTCCCAGCTCCAGAGGCCCACCTTATCCGGAAGCCTACTCTCTACTTGGTGACTCACCGCCTGGGAGTGGGTCCTTTGTTCAGTGCCCTGGGCGCTGCGGGGGAAGGAAGGCACGCAGGCCCCTGCTTTATTCCTCCAGCTCCCAGCTGGACCACTGTGCGGCCCTGCCCTGGACCAGCACTCGAGGTGCTGGACTCAGTGACCTGGGACAGCCCTGCACTGCTGAGTCTCCTGGGGCCCCAGGGCTGGTCCCACTCCTCTGGGCTCACCCTGAGGGGTGACGTCTATTCCCTCCTTCTTCTGCTAAGAGCACCCTGGTTTTCCAGGGGAAACCCTACCCAGCCACCTTTCAGGGATACGGTGGGGGGGGGGGCACCCTACCTCCTAGTTCTAGGTCGGCAACCCGCATTCTGCCCCACTGGTTTGGAGGAGGACACCCCGCCCTGCGGGTGGGGAGGGGGCTGGTGACCTGGGGCCACCGGGGCTACCTCAGGCGGGGACCCAGTCCAACGGAGGCTGAGGGGCAGAGAGTGCAGCCCTGGGCTCAGCGCGGCTGGGGCTGCGTGCACGCTGCACTTGGCCGCTTGACTTTTTGGCTTCAGGCTGTTGATGGGTTTCACCTCTCCACCCGACCCCGAGGATCCTCTGGACTTGGTGATTTGTCCACTGGCAGCTGCACAGTGGGTCCTGCTGCCCATGATCCTGCATTCAGCACCTACTCTCAGACGGGACGTGTCCTGAGTGAGGCAGACACAGCCCTGCCCCCAGGGCTCACAGCCTGGGGATGGTCAGGGGGACTGTGCCACGAACTGTGGGGAGCGGGATGTGAGGGGGGCCGGAGCCTGCCTGAGGAGGAGACCCTGAGAGCCCTCAGGAAGTGACTGGAGGAAGGGTCTGGAGCTGAAGGGAGAGAAAGAGCTCCAAGTTTTCCACCCCGAGACTGGAGAGGATTCCTGGTCTCCCTTGAAACAACGACGAGGTGGGGGCTGGGCGCGGAGACCGCCCGCAGAGCATTGTGGGCCTTTGGATCTTAGCCCAGCCACACATAGATGGGCTGCAAGCAGGGGTTTAGTGCGTGCGGCCAGTTAGGGTTTTAATAGATCCCTCTGGCCTTGGTGCCTTCCCAGGGCTCTGCCAGCTTGTGAAAGAAAGAATTCCTTGCTTGTCATGCAACCCTGCCACAATGCCTCCTCGCCCTGGTCGGCTTCATGGGGGTCGAGGGACGTGGATGGGAGCCCCACTTTGCAGACCTTTGTGGATGCGAGATCCTGGACCACTTGGAGAAGGCTTCCTAGGAGAGGGGCCCCAGTCTTCAGCCGAGTGGGAATCATGGGAAGATTGCCCAGAGGTGGGGGAGGAGAGGAATACCGGAGAGGGGACAGCATGTGCAGAAAGGCACGGAGGCAGGAAAGAGCGCAGTGTGCCCAGGGAACCCCTGCATGAGAACTGAGTGTGAAGGACTTGGAGTGTGTCTGCGCGTGTGTCAGTGTCTCTCTGAAGGTGCAGGCAAGGAGCAGCAAGAGGCCTCTGCATTGGGTGGGCTGGTGGTTGCAGGAGGTGGGTGGTGGAGGATGGGCAGGGGGGCAGGGAAGACCGCATCAAAGCCAAGCTGTCAGATGGGGGAGGATTAGCTGGTGGGTAGAGGGGGGAGGTTAAACCTGGAAACTAAACCTCATGCTTACCTCTGCTTCCTCTGGAAACTTCATAAAAATGATGGCAAAATAGTTTTAAAAGGTATAAACACGAGACAGGGAGTTCTGCAGATGAGAGGGGCCGCACGTTTTAGGAAGATGGAAACTGACAGGGCCTTCCTGGGGTGGCCTGTACCAGAGATTGGCACCCACAGACTGGCAGGGACTGCTGGCGGGGCTAGGTCTGAGCCCACTGTGGATGGTGGGGGCGGGTCTGATGACAACCCTTGTGGTGGACAGAACCTATTGTGACCCCAGCGATTTCCTGTCCCCTGATGTTCACACCCCTGTGTAACCCCTGGCAGGAGCTGTGACCCGCTTCTAACCAATAGAATATGGCACAGGTGATGGGATGGCCCACCCCTGTCTAAGGAGACCCTCTTGGCAGGCTGGACAATGTAAGCAGCCTTGGAGAGGAAGCCCATAAGGCAAGGGACGGCATGTGGCCTCCAGCCAACAGCTTGCAAGAAGCCGGAGCCCTCAGTCACACAGCCGCAAGGGCAGAAATCCTGCCAGCAACTGACTGAGTGAGCCTGGAAGCAGATCTTTCCCCCAGGAGACCCTCCAGTTGGGCACGCAGTGAGTGGCACCTTGATTGCAGCCACGTGAGACCCCGAGCAGCGGAGCAGCCCACCTAGAACTCCAACCCCTAGCAACTGTGAAAGAATAGATGCCTGTGGTTTTCAGTTGTTCCGTCTGTGGTCATCTGTTACTCAGCTTAGAAAACACATATACTCCCAGGCCCTCCCACAGCTGCTCACCATTCACTTCCCTGTTTACACCGACCCCTCCTGCGGAAGACAAAATGCATCCTCTCTGGAGAGAGATTCCAAAATCAGGACCTCAGGCATGGCAGAGGCAGGAATGAGTGTGGAGCTGAAAAAGATGGCTTGAGTGACCACGGAGTCCCAATCCTTCCCCGCCCTGCCTCGGGAATGCCAGCAACCAAGTGTGTGTCCCTGGGCGGAAGATGGAGGGTCTTCTGTGGACACCCAGAAGCACCAGCACGGGAAGACTCCGCATCACTCACTGCCCCGTGCTGCAAAGGCCACGTGACCTGCTTTGGTGAATGAAGAGAGAGTGGAAGTGACATGTACTTTCTGAAAACGTGAGAAGTCATCCTGTGGTCCCACCACTGCTCTCTTTCTCTGCCACAGAAGACAGTGCCCTACACGGAGGCAGCTCCTTCATCCTAGGGCCCAGGATGAAGAGGACACATGGAGCAACCTGCAGGCCCCAAATACACCTTTGCTGTTGTGTGTCTCTGAGATTTGGGGGGATTGTTTGTTACTGTAGCATAACTTTGCAAAGCTGACTGATAACACCAGGAAAGCTGCCTGGATGCCTGATAATCCAGGGAGTCCTTTAACACACACAGATTCCAACTGGCCTGTCTATGCCTTATGTTGGTGTGCATGGCTGCTGAGTGTCATCAGACATTAGAGGAAACCCATCAGTGGAAGAACAGAGACCAAAACAAAGAGAGAAAAGGAAGTAGGATGAAAGGAGAGGAATCAGGGGGCAGAAGAAAAGGTCAGAATTAACCCTAATTCCTCAGAGAGGACATTAAACCAGAACAATGTTATTTGTTTTAATGGAGCCAAGAGCTTGTAGAAGTTTAAAAGACAATAGTTGAAATAAGAATGGGAGTAAAAGGTAGGGGAACCCCTAAGGAATAGACCTAAATGACAAAGAAATTGGGGGGAATTAGAGGATAAGCGCTAAATCCAAGTACAGAAGTCCCAGAAGGAGAGGCCTGCAGGGAGTGAGTCCCCAGAGTGCAGAGGCCTGCCCTGCACAAGAGTTGCACCAAGACCATCCCCCTCTTCCCCTCCCCTCAAGGCAGAGGGGTTCCAGAGCACCAGGGATAAAGCAAAGATACTAAACACTTCCAGAGAAGAAAAGGATGCCTCATGGAAAGGACTGAGAGTCAGAGGCACTCTGGGCTTCTCACCAGCACCACTGGGAGCTAAGAAGTCAATGGAGAAATGCCTTCAAAATGCTGTTGAAGGAACTTCCCTGGTGGTCCAGTGGTTAACAATTTACCTTGCCATGCAGACAATGCAGGTTCAACCCATGGCTTGGGAACTAAGATCCCACATGCCACGTGGCATGGCCAAAATGTTAAAAAAAATAGTTCAAGTATTTTTAATTTAAAAAATTAACTCTAAAAATAATTGCTGGCAAAAATGATTTTTAACTCAAAATTCTATACTTAGCCAAGCTATCACCAAGCATGCTGTTGGCTGAAGACCTCTTCAGATGTGCAAGAGTTATACTAATCAGTCTTCCATGCTCCTTTTCTCAGGAATTTCCTTGAGGAGGTTCTCCAGCAAAGCAAGAACAAGAAAGACTGAGTGGAGGAAACAGAAGCAGCCAGCATGGATTGTTGAGGGGTGGTGATGGTGGTGGGGTGGTTCTGGCAGGGAAGGTATGGACTGAGCCAAACAGTTTCTTTGATAGATGGGAAATAATATTGGGAAACTGCTCACCATCCGGTAGACTTAGAAATGGATATGAAGTAAGCTACTAGTAACCCATCATTGCCTAACAAATTGCCACAAATTTACCTTCTGGGCAAGCCTAGGCACAAACTGAGCTGTGTTCTCCTCGGCTGAGGGCTTCGCAAGGCTACACTCAGGGTGCTTGATGGGACTGCAGACTCATCTGAGGCTGGACTGGGGAAGGATCCATTTCCAGGCTCACTGACCATGTTGCTGGAACTCGGTTCCTTTTTGTGTGGGTCTGAGGGCTTCAGGTTCTTGCTGACTATTGCCCAGCAGCTGCCTTCGACTTCTAGAGGCCACAATTTCTTGCTGTGGCCACACGACTTGGCAGCTTGCCCCTTCCTAGCCAGGGAGGGTGCAGCAGACACCTGCGTGACGGGCTCTGCAATCTCATACCACATGGCCGTGTCTGTCCCGTGCCCTTGCCGTGTTCAGTTGGTTAGAATGGGTCAAGGTCATGCCCACACTCAAGGACGGGGCCTGCAGAAGCGTGTGGACACCAGATGGTCTTTGGGAGCCACTTATTTTTATCAAGTAATTTTTATTGGAGTATAGTTGCTTTACAATGCTGTGTTAGCTTCTACTGCATGGCAAAATGAGTCAGCCATACATATACGTATTTCCCGTCTTTTTTGGATTCCCCTCCCATTTAGGACACTGCAGTGCATTAAGCAGAAATCCCTGCTCTCTACAGTACGCTCCCATCAGCTGTCTATTTTACGCATAGGATCAACAGTGTACAAGTGTCAATTCCAATCTCCCAACTCTTCCCACCCTACTCCCCCTTGGTATCCATACATTTGTCCTCTGTATCTGTGTCTCTATTTCTGCTTTGCAAACAAGGTCACCTATACCGTTGTTCTAGATTCCACATATATGCATTAATATATGATATTTGCTTTTCTCTTTCTGACTTACACTCTGTATGACTCTCTAGGTCCATCCACACCTCTACAAATGATCCAGTTTCATTCTTTTATATTGGGAGCCATTTTCTTAAAATTTAGGACCCACGTTTAAAGCAGCCTAAACAAAGCTAATTATTAACTTCATGAAAAACTAAAAGTTAAACCAGAAAGGAAATACAACCACATTACATTACTTGACTCAGAGGCAAACAGTGTTTACATAATCGTTAAACAACTGAATATTGGTTGAACTAAAAATTGTTGCATATTGGTAATAAGAAGTGACAGAGGGGGAGAGTGCTGTGTGGGTGTGTAGCCGAGGGGGACTGTGTGTGAGAGCTCAACCCTTGTCTTCTGTAAGAGGAAGTCAGTAGATAATGGCTCAAATTGGTAAATCAAGTAACAGCAGCACAAGCATGTTATTTATAAACATGGAGATAAAACCCAGAAGAAGAAGCCAAAAGCGTTGACTGTGGTTGTTTCCGGGGAGAGGTGGGGGTGGGGCGGTTGGGAAGGGCCTGCTGCTCCACACTGTAGGCCTGTGTATCTTGGAAAATTCTGTGCGTGTCAAGTGCATATACTTTAAACTATTACATTGCTTCCATAAAAATACACATTAATTAATAGAGAAAGAGATAAGGGGGAGGAGAACCATCCCCTGGAGGAAACAGTGGAGTCCCCGGGGAAGCTGAGCCATCCAAGCTTCTCCTTCCCCTGCGGGGAGGGGTTCTTCGGATCCCTGGCGGGAATGGCAGTCCCCGGGGGTGGGTGGGGGGCGGCGGGGGGTGGGGGGAGGAGAACCTGAGTGGCACATACTCCGGGGAATGTGGTAACCGGAGCGTCCACAGGGAGAATACGGTAACAACGGGGGGACTGGGAGGGTTTCGGAAGGAAGCTGGGAGGGGGAACCGGGATCCCTCCCCCAGCATTGGGGGAGTCTCAGGCCCCAGGCGAGATGCCCCCACCCTTGTAGTCCCCCTCTTCGTAGACATTTCTTGGAAAAACTCTGAAGGTTCCCGTGAGGTTTTGTTTTTTCTTCAGTAGATTTTGTATAATTTGTTTTTAATCTAAGTAATAAATGTTCCTGGTACAAACACTGGGAGGCACGGAATGTCTTGGAAAAGCACGGCCTAGTAGTGATGTCCAGCCGGGTGGCTGCTGTCAGGCCCTCCAGGTCCCCAGGTGTCCTCCTGTTCCTGCTGACATCAGTCTCTCTCTCCCAGGCATGCAGGGGTCTCTCTGCACACCCGTGGTCTGCACCCCGCTTTATTCACTTTGCTGCCTGGCAAGGCACACTTCTCATGCCAAGACCCTCAGAGAGAGCCGTCTCACCCCTTTTTCCAGACCCCTGTGCCAGGAGCTGCCCCATTGGTGTGCCCAGTCCCCAGTGGTGGGTGCTCAGCTTGAGTGTAGAATTTTGCTCTTAGTAACTCAGCTGCTGGACATGAGTTTGGGCACGCTCTGGGAATTGGTGATGGACAGGGAAGCCTGGCGTGCTGCAGTTCATGGGGTTGCAAAGAGTTGGACACAACTGAGCGACTGAATTGAACGAACTCAGCTGTGACTGGACACCTCCAGGCAGACCGCCGGGCTTTCTCCC